TTTAGTTGACTAGTCAGCCATTTTTTTAAATTATTATTATTATTTCACTAATCAGATTATTATTTCTGATGTTACTTGGAGTTTTTTGTTTTGGTTTTCTTTTTAACCCTTATATTGTGTAAGGGTCAAAATTGACCCGTTTTCAAGTTTAGGTATGTAAAAACTGCCATTTGCTTTTTTGTACCGGAATGAGGCTTCATCTAATCCTCAGACACAACTATTTTAACGCAACAAAATCAATTTTCACCATTTTAGTAAATTGTAAAGGTCTGAAAAAAAAAAGTGACATCTGTGGTGTTACGGGTCAAAAATGACCCGGCAGAGAAATAGTGGCTGTTTTATGCATCACTTACAAGCTGTAGGCTGCTCTGTGGATCAAATATGGCTCAGTGTGTCCCACAACACACACACACACGCGCACACACACACGCACACACACACACACACACAAAAAAGGTCGTCTTCACCCACGTGAACTCTTCTCTTTCTTGCAGCACATTGATACATTTTGAATCTAAAATAAACCTTGTCATATATAAACAAGGTTTTAGTGAGATATTATCAGCTGTATCTGTTGCAGCATCAGTCAACATGAGCAGGTTCACTGTTTATGAGGCGCTGGATCAGATTTTTGGTCATGACAGTGATTCTGAAGACAGAGAGGAAAGTGAAGCTGAGGAAGATGTATCTGAGGATGAGGATGAGGACACAGACTGAATAAAAGAAGTGGACTAAGTGAGTGTGACGTCACCCACAGCGTTCGGCGCCGCTCAAATGAAGCTCACGGTTACAGGAGCGAATCTAGAGCCAGGTTATATGTTATGAATAGGATTTTTTGGACGGACAAAACAGCCAAAAAAAAAAAAAAATCAGGATCATGTGTCGCAGGTTAATACGTATATTTTAAGACCAAAATGACGAGGTTCACAGCAGCAGGTACAGAGAGAAGGACGACAAGATCCTAACATAAGTCAATTGGAGCCAGAGTCAGAAGGAGCCGGAAGAGCCTCCTGGAGAACTTTCTATTTGGAACGCGGTGGCTACAGCGTTAGTTATGTCCATTCATATATACGTCTGTGGATGAGGATGAGGTTCAGTATGACCCTGAACAAGAGCACATGTGGTGAGGAGAACGCAGATGTCACAAAGACTGAAAGAGACGTCTTCAAGTCAAGAAAAAGTGACAGTTCATGGTCACCAAGCCTCTTGACACCCAATATAATTATACTTATATAAATTACATTTATATTATATGTATTATATATTAAATTATTATGATTATAGTATAATTATATAATATAATTACAAATTTTATCACTATAGGAAATATAATTAGTGAATTTAAACAGTTTTTGTAATAAAAAACGAGTGGTATATTTTAAGATAAAAGGTCTGTGCAGCCAAAAAATAAATAAAAAAAATAAAAATGTTTCCATGGACATGAACACATACTAAGTTAGTTATGAGGGGAAAAACAATATTGGATGATATCTAGTGTTTTTAAGTATTTTCAGGCTTTAGAGTTAAATCACCCGGTAACACTAAAGACGCGTGTAGCTTTCTAACACAATACAAGGTTTAAATAAAATGTCACCAGTCAAAGCTTAATTATGCCCAGAAGAGTATATTTCATTAAAGTGTCGATACGCTATTTTCTGATCTATGTTAAAATGTTGTTTCCTCATCACAAACAGATTTGGAGTTGTGTTTTGTTTCATTCACACACATTTAAAACACAAACCCTGCATATTTCAGCTAAGTTCTTATCTGAAAATGCTCTATTCTACCTTATGATGTCATGTGGTAATACAGGACGTGCTTCAGTATATTTTTAAACTCCATACACCTTCACTATAATCATTTGGATGAATTGCCAACCTCTACTGAACTAGATAGGAAGATAAAAGGAGCTGTTAATGTGAAAACTACTAACTCTTCATGACATCACAGGGTGGAACAGATCATTTAGTACTTTGGAGATGTAGACAGACTAATAATAAAGGATTACTCAGACACGTATTTGTGTTTAAGTATAGTAGTATTTTCTTAATAACAGTGATAATTATGTTAAAACCTCGTCAACTGAAGCTCTAATTCCCATAAATATTTGAAGTCAAAATACATAAAAAAAACACTTAGTTGCCCAGACATGTCAAATCCTGGATAAGCCCATAGGATCATTAGGACAAATATTGTAAAAAGCCAACGCCTATGAAATTAGAACACACCGAAATTAAGCCCATTCTTTACATTCTTAGAGTAAACATTGTCCAAAACACGCTATAAAACTCGGCGTCCACAGTTTGGAGGCCAGGCTCTGCTCTACATTGTCCTACATTCTTTCAGTGGGAGCTCATAATTGTCCGTGATTGTGCGGTGTGCTGTGAAAGTACCCCATAACACTCCACACTGGGTCACTGGGTCACGGGGAGAGCCAATGGAATCTGAAGACTTCTTTCTCTCCTCCTGATGGATTGATGGGCCCCAAATTGTGGACCCAAGATGCTACCTAATAAGGAGAAGGTGGAGCGGGGTATTTGTTTTTTCTCAGACGTTGGGAAGGGTCTACTGGGATGTATAGTGCATTCAGCAGTAGAGGACTTGGAGATGTTTTGAATATTTTTTGGTCATGTGGAGAGTTGCCATGTCCCAAAAGACTGGCACAGATTCGACTGCAGCTCCTACAAGTAAATACTGTACACAAACCTTCTACACAAGACTCACAAACCATAAACTTGGCTTCTCTTGGCTTGTCTTGGCTTTTGGTCTTGCTCTAGTTATAATATAAGTTAGAATCAACTGCAGTAAGTAGCAGGGAAAGGTCTTACTTCTAGAGGTGTGAATCTTTAATTTGCAGACGATTCGATTACTGGAGTCCTGATTCAATTTGAAACAATAATCACTTTGAAAACAATTCAAAATTCAATTCTGAAGCTGTTTTTCAATTTATTTTACACATTTAAAGTTCTGTGTTGTAACAAACTTCTGTAAACTAGTACATCCAGGCAAAATAGACTTGTTCTTAGATCAGGCTAGAATCAGACAGAAGTTCCCTGAAATTGTATCCATGCCCAGTTAATCCATACTGCAGTGATGAAACTTAAATATCTAGGGTTATTAAGACAAACACTCTAAATATTTGTATACCGTTTACACAGCCTATTTTTAATGAATGGAGGTCTGGCTGTGGCTCTTTAAATCCTATAAGTTGTGGCAGTAGTTAGCGCATTAACTTTCCTTCGCTAAAAACAACACAGCAAAGCGAAGCAGAGAGCAAAAGTGATTTAAAGTAGCACTGATGTCCCGTTCGTCTCTCCTCTGTCTCAGAGCGGTCTCATGTAAGTCTCCTGCTTTGTGTGCTTGAGTTTGTGTGTGTGTGTCAGTGCTCTCAGAGACAGCCCTGTCCTCATCACTCCGGTGCACAGAGCGATGAAGAAACACTGTTAATGATGTCATTACTGTGGTAGAAACACTATTAATAATGTCATTTAAAATCCATTTTTGAGAATTTGGAATCGACCCAGAATCATTAAAAAGTAGAATCGTGATCTTTTAAAGAAACTTTTTTTTTTTTTTCCAACACCCCTAGTTAGTTCCACATTTTGCTCAATGGTCAAAAGGAAAAGAAAGAACTATTTCCTTTTCTTCCATCTTGCTGCATTTGCAACACACACAAATGCAACTAAAAAGACACATCAAAATATGGACACATTATATTCTACCAAAGATTCAATTGAAAATCACGGTTTTTGAGATACGCAAATTAAAGGTCCTCAAAAACATACCTGGACTGTTTTGTTTCATTCACACATGTCTGAGTAATCCTTTATTATTAGTCTGTCTACATGTACACATCTACACTCTGTTCCACCTTGTGATATCATGAAACTGTGGTTTTCAAGTTAGCTCCTATTATCTTTAGTTCAGCAAAGACCGGCAATTCCAGGCTTGTAATTATCCAAATAATTCCAGTGAAGGTGTATTGTTGATCTTAAAGTGGATCACTTTCTGTATTACCAGGACATCACAAGTGTTTTCCATCTGAAAGAAGAACTCAGCTTAAATATGCATGGTTTGTGTGAATGAAACAAAACACAACTCTTATGTTTTTGATGAGGAAACAAGATTATAACATAGATCACCAGTAAAATGGGCCGCTTAAAATAAAAAAGACGAATAAAGACTACGGAAAACGCACAATTTGGAAGCTTCTCACCATAAGAATCCTGAATGATAGAACGCTTCGACCCTCTGGACCTTGAACTTTGCCACTGGTCAAATTGTAATGCACAACAGTTATCACTTAGGCAAGGCCATATTGTCAACCCCGGGCAAGATAAATTGTATTCTCAGACCATTTTATCATACTAATTGAATCGACCAACAATAGATCGGCTTCGCAATGTTCCCAAGCTCCCAAAACGTTGCTGTAGGTCTTCCAATATTTCAAAAACTGGACATCGGTATCAAAAAGACGCAATTTAGATTCCTCTACTTTATCTTGACCTATGCGCAAGTTCATGGTTCACAAGTCACAAGGGAGCAGTATAGCGTGTCCGTATGTCCATTTTAGGTCACTTCGGATGTCACCTTAGATGTCTCCTACGTCCTAACGGAGGGAGGAGACCGCTTAGGCTCCGAGGGTCATTCCTTTGCACCCCTTTGTGAAGTTGCTGGTCACTGGTCATCCATCCTGAGCCAGCCACCCACTTTTTGACCCCTTCGCCCTCTCTGCTCGCTGGGGTGGAAAATGACTTTGACGGGGGCCCCCATTCAAGCTTGAAGTTTAAAAATCACCTCTCTTTCTTGTGGCTAAATGATAAGTGCACGGGCAGGGCAGCGTCATTAGCTTCTCCGTAACCCCGCCGTAGCTTTTGACTGGGCGAAGATCCAAGACGGACGAAGACTGTCTGGGCCGGACATTGTTGCGTGAAATAGATCGCAGACATCTGTTGATATTGTGGAAGTACAAAACATCTGCTGGGGAGGCGTTCACTTACCGGCGGACGTTGCGGCGCTCCTCCTCCAGTTGTCTGAGCAGCTCGTCGATGCATTTGTTGGCGTCCATGTATTCCTGAAGGAGACAAAGTTCAGAGTGAGTGTGACGAATGAACGAGGAATTACAAACAAAGAAAACTAAACTGGAGGAATTGAACATAGATACTGCTTTACTACTACTACTACTACTACTACTACTACTACCACCACTACTACTATACAATTACTATTGCTACAACTACACCAACAACTACTACAACAACTACACTAACAACTACAACTGCTACTACTACTACTTCTACTATTACTACTATGTTAACTATTACTACTACTTCTACTACTACAACAACAATAACAACAGTTACTACTACTAATTCTATTATTACTACTATTACTATTACTACTACTACTACTACTACTATTACTATTACTATTGATACAACTACAATTTCTACTACAGCAAGAACTACTACAACTACTACAACTGTTATTACAACTACAACAACTACAACAACTACTACAACTTCTACTGTTATTACTAGGACCATTACTGCTACTGCTATTACTATAACAACAACTACTACGACTATTACTAATTCTATTATTACTGCTACTACTACTACTATTACTACAACAGCAACTATTATGACTACTACTTCTACTACTACTACAACTACTACTACAAAAACAACAACAACTACTATTACTACAACTACTACAACTACAACTACTACTATTTCTTTTACTATTGCTTCTGTTACAATACTACTACTTCTACTGTTACTACAACTACTACTACTACTACTATCAACTACTACATCTACTACTATTGTTATTACAACAACTACTACTACTACTACTACAACTACCACTACTACAAGTACTAAAACTTCAACTACTACTTCTAATACTGCTATTACAACAACAATTCCTACTATTGCTACTCCTTCCAAACCAACTTTGTTTGTATAGGACGTTTCATTAACAAGACAGTTTCCAAAGTGCTTCACAGAGCTATGTAAACCTTTTAACTTTAAAAGGTCAGCAGAATTATGTTCCAGACCAAAGGAACTAATAGAAACCTGTTTTTAAAAAGCATAAAAACACAGCGGAGCAATTCCTGTATAACCACATCACAACACAATGTGGAACAGAGTATTTTATATCTGAGAGAAGAAAACAGCTCAGAAAACAGTGTAACACGCTCCCTTTAACATACAAGCGAGCAGTTACTTTGTTCCTCTGTTTTCAAGTTGGCCGGACTTTATTTCCACTACTGAACCGGACTTTTACAACATGTATAAATCCATTTGTTGTGCGTTTGATGGTGTAACTCTGGAACAGCTCCCGAGTCGATGTGAGTCCTGGCCCCGTACGCCGCGCTTCTGTAACGCCACATGGGACTCGCGTACATTTACGAAGCGTGCTACTGCTCCTGTGTGGACTGAGCTGAGAGGAGAAACTGAGCGATGAGGAAAACAGATGGTCAGGCTGTTCTGGTCATCTACCTTCAGTGGTGTAAGGAGCAGACAGCAGCTACCAGAGAATGAACTAAGAAAAAAAAACCTCTGGAATTGTAAAAGTGTTTAAGTAGTGTCCAGTGTTTGGAATTATAATAACAGATTAGAGATCAGATTAGAAGATGTTTGATGTGCAGAGAAAAAGCCTGTGTGGAGGTGTTTTCAGAGCTGGACTCGACAAGATAGGGATGTTTCAAGGTTCTGTCATCTCTAATCATTAATGAGCAACTTGGGTCTTTTTAACTTAAAGCTCCACAGCCAGTCGCCTGTCAGTAAACACATGTGGTTTGGATCAGATTTCAGTTAATCTGGCTCATTCCAGATTGACACTACGACTACTACTCACCTCAACTTCTACCTTCATATCAAAAAAGTCACCCAATCCTGTTTTCTACACCTCTGTACAGTTAATAAAATCAAACATATCCTCTCCACTAGGACTGAACTATTTAAAGAAAAAAATTAATTGTGATTTTTCTGGCAGATATTGCAATTTCGATTTCATCCATGATTTTTTTTTTCAAATCAAGTTTCAGTGCACCTGAACCTTTGCAAACATCACAGAAACTTGCATCATACCGCTGATTTGACACTGGACCAACAGTAAGGGCTGTGATTGGTCCTCTCTATCATCGCTCTACATACATTTCCTGTACTCTGCTTATACATTGAGTAATAATGTGTTTAATGCAGCTTTGCGCACATTCATTTACGTTGTATAGAAACAAAACTTAAAACCACATGGCTCATTTGCATAAACTATAAGCACTGAAAAAACAGCTCGCAGATGAACAGCTCGCTTCCTGATGCGTTCAGCTTCTGTCGGACTAAAGGACACGACTCAGTGAAATATGTGTGTTGTTTCTGTGACAGAGGATGTGCTGATGATGGTGAGTCTGTTCTGTGCTTCTATCGTGTTAGAGATGGTTCATTAAACTTTACACGAACACCAGGTTTCAATCCTTGCCTCCTCGTATTGTGGCGGTTGAATTACTTCGCGGTGCATAGACCTTGACGCAGATCCAGAAATCCATAAATCGGGCTTTAAGAGCACTGCAAAAAAACACGGCTTTGATGCTCGTGTTGTCTGAGATCGCGATTTTCAGTCCAAAATGATAGACTGTTTAGCCTTATCTCCCGCCCATCTTGAAAAAGTCAACCAAGCACTCAATCTTCCCGTTTAGACTATTGCAACTCTGTCCTTGACTCCAAATCCATCTCCCGCCAGCTGGTTCAGAACGCAGCAGCTCGGCTCCTCACTGAACAGACATTACCCCTGTTTTAGCTTCCCTTCATTGGCTGCTTATGTGTTTTAGAATCAATCACTTTCAAATCGATCACTTTTAAATCGAACACTTTTAAAGCTCATTTAGGTCTTGCACCAAGTTACATTTTAGAACTTTTACCACACGACATCACAAGGTAAAACAGGGCATTTTGAGCTTTGGAGATATAGACAGACTAATAATAAAGAGTTAATCAAACATGTGTGACTGAAACAAAACACAACTCCAGGTCTGTTTTTAAGGAGGAAACAACATTCCACATGACTTAAAGCTCACAGGAGTCCAATTTGTGTAATATAGGACCTTTATCTCTTTCCTCCACATTCTAATCGCTCTACTCTAATAGTATACTGCAAAAGTACAATAAAAATGTAAAATACAGGATGTAAAATGTCTTTAAAACCAAAGACCTTAATAAACCGTAACTGTTTAACCTAGCCACAGTGTGCCAATTTATCCTATAGCCTTTGAACAATTCGCTGTCCCACTAACCCAGTTTTGACCCGTCCTCATTTAACAAAAATTCCTTTCAACTACCGTGCATTGCCTATTCTTTCTGATTTTAATTTCCAATGCATGTAATTATTAAAACGACACTGGTTTGACTCTGCAAGACTTAATTTAAGCTTATCTTTAATGCATGATGTTTGGGTAAAACGGCCTTCGCTGGTGGATATCTTGATCGGTGGATAGCGTGATGACCTCCTCATGGGCGGAGATGGTTGGCCCCTCGAACTGTGCGTGGGAATGCATGTTTTTCAATTAGCGAAGACCTCGGACCGCCGGATCAATGAGAGCATCTGTCCGGGCGAGATAAGCCCCAACGCAGAATCATGTGTCAGTGGACGTGTCAGGAGTACGTCAGATTAATGAGCGGGAAGAAGGGTGCTGCGGAGAGCTGTCTGTCTATTTGGAACCCGGGCACCCAGGGGACGTTTGAGCTAAGGGTGTAGTCAAAAGATGCTACCTCAAAGATAAGTCTACAGTCTCATAAAATGCCAGAGTATATCAAGAATGACAGTGAGTTGTAGTTTGAAGGTTCTATATTTAAGTCATGTTATAATGTTGTAACCTCCTCAGAAACAGACCTGTAGTTGTGTTTTGTTTCATTCACACGTTTGAGTAATCCTGCTTTATTATTAGTCTGTTTACATCTCCAAAGCTCAAAATGCTCTGTTCCAATTTGTGATGTCATGAAGTGGTAGTTTCCAAGTTAACAGCTACTTTTTAGCTTTAGTTTAGTAGAGATTGGCAATTCCAGGGCTGACATTGTCCAAATGATTCCAGAGAAGGTGTATGGAGTTTAAAAACACAGTGGAGCACTTCCTGAATGACCATATGACATCACAAGGTAGAAAAGAGGTTTATAGTTTGAGAAAAGAACTCAGCCTAAATGTGCAGGGTTTGTATGTTAAATATGTGCGAAGAAACAAACAAAAATAAAAACACAACTCAAGTAATATGGGCAGCTTTATGTATCATAGCAAATGTTTGTAAATGCCATTACAGCAAAAATATAACCATTATTTTAATTCATATTTGTATATTTTTTGTATTAACTACCACATTTTCTCTATTTTCTGATCTCTGTTATAATGTAGTTTCCTCATCACAAACAGACATGGAGTTGTGTGTTTTTTTGTTTTTTGTTTCACACATATTTAACATACAAACCTTGCACATTTAGGCTGAGTTCTTCGCTCAAACTATAAAACTCTGTTCCACCTTGTGATGTCATATGGTAATACAGGAAGTGCTCCACTGTGTTTTTAAACTCCATACACCTTCACTGGAATCATTTGGACAATGTCAGCTCTGGAATTGCCATATGACATCACAAGGTGGAACAGGGTTTTATAGTTTGAGCGAAGGACTCTAAATGTGCAGGGTTTGTAGGTTAAACGTGTGGAAAAAAAACACACACAACTCCATGTATGTTTGTGATGAGGAAACTACATTAGAACATAGATCAGAAAATAGAGTAATATGGGCAGCTTTATGTATCATAGCATGTGTGTGTAAATGCCATTACAGCAAAAATATAACCATTATTTTAATTCATATTTGTATATTTTTTGTATTAACTGCCACATTTTCTCTGCTTGGACATACTGTAGACTGAAAACGCATATATTGTTGTCTTCGTGTTATGTTATGTTCAAATTTGACAGTTTTTTATCAACTTTTTAAAACCCCATCGTGTAATTTTTAGATTAAAAAATAGACTCTATAGAGCAAACATCAGTCCTACTTTCTAAGAAGTACAGCAG